TATATATATATATATACACACACATAATTTGTTAAATTACCTCCATTATAAAATATTACATGAGGCTAGTATAAAAAGTAATTATACAATCAAAATATTACAAAATGTAAAACTTTAATTACACATATTAAAAATAATATCCTAGTTTTTTCCGAACAATCGTGTCTATACTTCGGCGTATTTCCATTGGATTTTTTAATTTCGCAACAAAAAGGCAGACTGCTTTATTAATTAAAACAGTTTAATTTTTTATCACATATTGAAGTCTATGTAGATTAAAAATTACATATACGTTTAGATATAGGATTATATATTTTGGATTTATATATAAACTCTAACCGTTGATTTTCGATGTCGAATATGTCATGGAGATTTTGCACTTTCGAACAATCTCATATTTTGAAATAATCTATTGACATAATATTGCAGCTAATTTTTATGTCATCTACCTGATTTCCGAATACAAACGCAATTTTAATGCCCTGTGCTTCCTTTTACATATAAGATCGTGATACTATTATAAATATTTAAAGAGAGCTTGTGACATGTAATTTATCAATTCCTCTTGTTTTATGAGCAAGCAGTTACAATAAATTAATCAATTAATTAATTGTGAACGAAAAATTATAAAATTTCGGATCAACTTTTACTAACGTGTGTCTTTGAGATGTTTAAATATATATTATTAACATAATAATTTCATAAATTTGCGATTATGTTAATTGATTTTTTTATATTTAAATAGAAAAACAATTTTTAACTTATTAATGACATACTAAAGATGACAAAATTTTGGCTGAAACGTTCATGTAGAATTTTATATCATTAACTGAAGACTTTAAATATATGATTTTTTGCTATGAAAATCCGTAACATATGCTCGTTATCACTATTAAAAAAAATTTGACATAAAGTTTTTAAATGCGAGCATGAATGTTATTGCAACTAAATGCAAATGTGAAATCGAAATATCGCATTTGCGGAAATTCATTTTAAAAAAATATTGACGCACGTATGTGAAACAATTCGCACTTTCGTCTCTTTTTTTAATTAAATATCGAATTAAAACCTCAAATTTATTTAATATATACAAATATATTTTTAATATGTACAGATGCGAATGTTACAAACTCCTCTTTATTCGGATAACTTAATATATAAAAAGATAATATATTGCTGTGTAAAATTAAAATAACAAAAATCATATTTTATGGTAATTTGTGACTTTTCCTCAATTGAAATAAATCATTAAGTGTCAATAAGTGTCGATTATCGTAATTTAATCACATATTGAAAAAGATTCACTGCATTTTGTTTGATATCTAGTAAATATTTTTGTTTTGTAATATTAGTCAGTCATGTCCTATAAAGATATAGTAGGCCATATATTTAAGATAGATATATAGGTCTGTTCTTTTTGGCTGAATTTTTGCACGAGTTTATCTTTCTTCTTTTTCTCTCCAGAAGAAATAGAGGAAGAAAGATGAACTGGTGCAAAAGTTCAGGCAAAAAGAAGGCCTAATATCACTTTGCGACTATTTGAATGATTTAGATCGAAATCTTTCAATTAATTTCGACTAAAATAGATCGTCTTTAATATTATTCTCAGAAAAATCAGTATTTTGTTGGCCAATGTTAGGTTCTACCGTATTCACCTGTTCGTCCGAAGCGATCGCATTTTGCATGGAAGTTGGAATTACCGTAGATGTAATGACATTTCCATTGCTTTCTGATTCTGGTTTTCTCTTCAATTGTCCGACTATAGTTACATAATTAGCAGGTACCAAACCGACATTTCTATTATCGGTGGCTATCCACCAACCTGGTATACTTTTAGATTGCAGGGAGCGCGGCGCCAACCATATTTTTTGACCAGTTCTCAGGCTCAATTCTTCATTAGAAACTGCCATGAAATCATACATTGCTGTTGCCACACATATTGGATCCTCGCATTTCACCCATTCTTTCGGATCGTTAACTGTAAATTTAACTAATATATAAAGTATCAAAATATATCTTAAAGATAAAGAAAGAAAGGAATTATAATAAAAAAAAATTAGTTTATATGAAATTGCATTTATATATTTTTTGCAATATTTTTTGTAAAATGTTTATAAAAATTATTCGACGTTTTTCTAAGCATAAAAATTTAACGATGGAAGACGTAGATTATTTGTAAACATTTATCATCGTGTTTATTTAGATTTAAAATGTCCTTAAAAATGCAAAAACAATTACCTTTTATTTGATTTTGTCTTATGTTACTTGTTATCTTGTGAATTAGATATGGAATAGCGACAAACACGCCGAGGAGTAAAATATTCATCCAAGGAGAAATCCTTTCGTTCGTCGCTGTTATCGGTGTTTGTTCTCCGTTTGTTAATTGTGACACTGATTGCTGCCACAAGTCTTCGACGACAGCATTTTGCGTTTGAAGACCTAGAAATAGAATAATTATTAAATGATAATAAATTATCTAAGTAGAGATAAAAGTTTTGATTATATAAAAAACCGAACCTACCAAGCGTAAATAAAATCTTTTTGTAGATCCATTTCATCACACGGATTAAAGCAAATGTGCTTAATAACTGGCCAATTGTTGACCGCAATCTACCAATATTATCTGCTACGCTTAAAATCGCACGGAAGGAATTTGTCAATGCGAAATATGTTGATTCCAGTAACATTGTGATGGACGAAAATGTATGTAATACGGTCTCCACTACACGAAAAGTTGATCTTGTGCTCTCTTCTGCGTATTGTTGAAACCTGCAACATGAAAAGCAAATTCTTTAACACTCTATCAATTGTTTCTATCCATCAATTTAATTTTAATCTCAGTTTAATTTACTCTTTATCTTTTTTTCATTTTCAAGCTGGTATTTAGAGACAGATCTTACATTTAAGATCGTTCTAAGTACAATTTCAAGACAATCATAAGAATGGCGTTTATGTTTTAAATGCTAATATTAGCATTTTAAAACATTGCTTAAAATGATTTTGATATAAGAATGGAATATGAATATCGACCTTTTAAAATAAGAAAAAGATAAAAAGTTAATTAAAATTGATAAAATTAAAAAGAGATTAAAGTTAATTTACATTGGTAGAAATGAACATTAGTTCAAAAAGCTTAAAGATACTTTTTCAAATAAGAATAAAACTGTAATTACTATATAATAATTACATTATATAAATTAATCTTTGGGATTTCAATTTAATCGCTGATACTTCATCGGCCTTGACTTTCATTAGCCTTGAATTTATTGTTTATTTTTATTTTTAAGAGTGTGAGTCTGTTAATAATATTTAATATTTATCATTGATAATAATTTAATAATTTGATAATTACTATATTTTTTAAACGCAATATAATTAAGAAAGTTCTACATTTTTGTTCTTTCATTATTTTATATCTCAGTAGTTAACTCTCAATTAGATATTTACAGATGATCTTTTCTAGTATACCTGTTCTCCACATCACCACTGTGTCCTCCAATTTGTCCATAGCTGTTACCAGAATAGGGAATGTAACTACCAAAAGATCCATATCCACCGTAGCCTCTGTAACCTCCATATCCATAATTGCCATAATTGCCATAGCCATAATTCGAGCCATATGGTCTATAATCGTTATATCCTAAATAACTTTGAGCTGGCTGGCGAGGTGGCAATGGAGGTGGAATGGCTCCAGCTCCAGTTTGAAAGGATGATTGTCCCGGCATGCTAGATAGAATCAAAATTTGCATTTGTTTGTTTCAAATGTCATTAAGACAGACTTCAATCTAATCATTTTTTATGTGAAGTAGAAAATTGTAATCTAAGTATATATTTCAAATATAAAAAGTATAAAAGAATTATTATTAATAAATGATTATCAAGAGAAAGAGAGAGCTACACACCAAAGTGTCAAAAGGCCTGTTCTTTTTAGTAGAACTTAAATTCTTGTACATCTTTTCTCTCTAATGTGAAAAGAAAAAGAGGAAAGCTGAACTACAAAAAGTTTAACTGTTTAAAAAAACAAGCCTAATAATTTTACAATTAAAGATTAAAAATCTATTAAAAATGATCAAATATTTATTCCAGATATACACACAACTTTCCATTCTTTTTTATTTTCTATTGCTCGAATAAACAAAAATAAGAGAAAACATCAAAACAGAATGTTATTGAATGTAAGGATAACTGGTGCAGAATTCGGTCACAAAATGATCAGCTGAATATCTTGACATCATCATGATTCTGAGGATTGTTTGCAAGATTATTTCGAGGATACGCGTCGATACCAGACACCGATGTTTTACCTGGACGAAAAGCTAGAATTTCTAAGCTGATTACTGTTGATAATGTTACTCCGTCCCGGTGCCATCGTTCTCGGATCTCACGTCTTTCTCCGAAGATTTTGCGACAGCGGCACTGTGCTTAGAAAAATCTTGAATGATCTGATAGCGCAGTTCAAAGTTCAAGAACCCTAAAAAAAGAACTGTGCACTTTCTTGACGTCCAAAGGATTCTCCAGCGATGGCAGGGCGTTCACTCACGTCAATTTGCGTCAACTCATGTGTTCTTTTTCTTCTTTAAGTCCGAAGATTTCAGACCTTTACATCTAGTCGCGATTGTCGCAAAATTACACGAACGTTCCGTCTTGCATACAATAAATATTCGTATTGACGTATTAAGGCCCGTCCAGATGTGAATACTCGCTTGTTAACGCTAGAGTTCCTTTAGTAAAAGTTAAGCATAAAAGCACAAAGACGCCATTGCCGGGTACTGGCCGGAAACAGCATAATTCCACCATGGTTGACAGTCCGATTTCGCATTCGCGCTTTCTATATCATGAAACAGTTGCTCATACCAATTCACATATTCATTACTTATCGAAAGTATCTGCAAATGGCATTTAAAGGGACTCGAAATCTGACCAATCAGGAATCGATGTCCCTCATGCCTTGACTCTTACTAGAGGGACTCTAGTTAACGCCTGCAAAAGGCGAACATGATCAATAAAACCGTTCAATTTCGCGGAATTTTTGAGAATTCTAGTTTATTTAAGTTTACGTGACTTTATCAATTTCTTGCAGCTGGGTTCCATTGCATTTGAAACAATTTTCTAAAATCATTCATTTTCATATCATATTTTTATATCTCATTGTTGTTATATAAGAATATATTTGTAAGTTATTGTAAATTTAAAATTTTAATTTTATATATATGGCAAAATTTGAATATCTTATGAATTTTTTTTATATTACATCACTTTTTATTACATCACTTTAAATATAAAGGACAACTTCCAAATCACATTCACTTTTAAATATAAATTATTCATACAATATATCATTAATTAAATAAAAATGTACATAATTATATATACATTACAATTATATTATCATTACAATAAAAAGATTTATATAAGATTAAAATTAATTAATGACATATTGTATGAATAATTTATATTTAAAAGTGAACGTGATTTGGAAGTTGTTCTTTATATTTAAAAGTGATATAACATACGAAAAATTTATACGATATTCAAATAAGATATTCAAGCTATTCAAATAAGATATTCAAATTTTGCCATATATGTCATTTAAATTTACAATAACTTACAAATATATTTTTATAATAATAATGAGATATAAAAATGAATGATTAAGATTGCATCAATGTTATTTTGACTTTAAACTCGTTTTAAAGTAAGAGAAAAAGAGAGTTTTAAGCCTAAATCAAAGTAAAATGTTGGTGCAATCGGACCTAAATGTTTTACAAATAACATAGATACATGGTAAAAAATACATTAATTATTTTCTAACAATTACAGCATGATAATATAAGAATTGCAATTTTTTATTTAATTATGTCTTATATTAAGTGAAATATAGATTTTTTATATATTTCTGTAATTGTAAAATAAAAACTGGAAGTAATTATACAGATGATAAGGAGTTATAATGTTTCAAAAACAAAAAATATTATTATTCACGTTAAAAGAATTTATTTAACATTAGATAAGTGCAAATTTTTATAATAATGATAAAATCATACATTATAGATAATACATAATGCGTCGATTTTAAGTAAAATATGTAACATGGACAATTATGCAAATTTGAAGAAGCACAAAGACTTTCATCACATATATATCTCTCTCATATATTAACAATTTTTACTAAAAGTTTTGATTCAATACACTATAACTTTGATTAGTTTAAATGTGCTGTTTTTCAAAATGGCATTCCGCATAAAATGTGTTTTATATATATATATATACATATAAGTTTGTTTATATAAAAACCGTGCAATTAACTTATGTATGAAATTCATATTATACATTTTCTTTTGTACGCATTTCATCATTTTAGTTGTATCATTTATCATGGCTTCTTTTTCATGATTCTTCATCTTCGCTCGAACTATCCATTGTATAACATAACTGAAAATTGAAAAATACATACGTAATGTATAATACCAAATACAAATGCAAATGAATTACGTAAAGCAACAAAAATATATTAATTTTTATTTATCAAAATAAAAAAGATTTTGAAGCTAATATATAAACAGAAATAACGTTCCAATTTTTAAAAATATTTTTTTGTAATACTTTAGATGCACTTGACTATTTATGCATATCATTATATACCTCATCCAGATCTGGTCTTTTCAGTATTTCCTCGAGTCCTGATAATTTCTCGAGATAATTTGGCGTATTACAAGCGTCGAGCACGAAAGCAAAACCGCGATGTTGATATTCCTTGATCAAAGGTGTTGAGCAAGCTGTACAAAATGGGGATCTATGTGTGACAGTCAACTTCATTTCGTGACCCCAAAGCGAGCCCCGTATTGTGTGAGGTACGCCACCCAATAATCCTATCAACGGATTGTCGACATTCTCTCGACAATCGTCCCTATCGTTATTCATAAGCGCTCTAGCTGAAATTCTAAAAAAAAAAGTTATAAAAAATTAAATTGTTAAACCTATCAATCATCTACATACATATATGTTAAACCTATAAACATTTACATATGTATAAGTAAAAGTATGTATAAATTAAACATTATTTAAATCATATAAACAAAATCTGTATATTGTGTTTGAATTTAATTTACCCTTGAAAATGTTGTGTCACTGCCATAAGTAATTCAACTGCTAGACCTGCAGCGATTTGTGACAAACCTGGCCGACTTACGGTACATTGCTGATCGAGTGTTCTATCAGTTTGTGACTAGAACAAAAATAATAATCACAGAATTAAAATATATCTTATTTGAAGTAATTATAAGTTGGTTAAAAAAAAAAGATTATATAAATCTTTTTCGGGACTTAATATGATATTAAAATAATATGTACTCACATTCCCGGGTTGCGTTACATCGTTACAAAAGTAACATCCAAGATCATATCCTGCAGGATTCTGTATCGTTAAATTAGGTGAAACAGAATCGGAAAGATCGCGTGTACCGTGTCGTTGTACCGTATACGAATCGAAACCTAAAGCAGCGTTGATAGTTATCTTATTCGTCGCGGCGCACAAGAGGGTTGGCAACCATCTGGCTTCACGTGAATCCAGAAGCAAGAACACCACGTCGTGATTATTTACGAGTTCTTGAAGTTTGTTCACAGCCTCTTTCGTCGTTTCCATCATACTCTGGCCAACTACATGACCAGGCATAGGAATATGCAAAACCACACCTTCCACATTCTGCAATACCATAAGTGATTTTATTGACTAAATTGAATTACTTCGAAATATTGTCTCACAATGCAACAAATTTAATAAACATATATACTTACCATACTAGGACGTATCCTAAGTAAAGCATCCTTTGCGGCATGTGCTTTGTGCCGACGTTGTACCGCATCTTCATGCATATACAGACTTTGGCGCACAGTATTGCTGTGTGAAACGGTAGAATTATCTACGAGCGTCATATTATTGATACCCCAGCCAAGAAGTACTCTTGCCACAGAACATCCAAGTGTTCCGGCACCCAAAAGAAGGCATCGTAAACCACTGATCTTTTCCAAATCTAGATCAGGGACAAGGCGCCATTTCATCAATTTCAGATTTAAGTTGATTGCTCTGTCTGATAGTCTAATGTAACATACAAATATAAAAAACATTTTTAAATTTCTGTACATAAAAATTGTTGACTTGAAGAATTTAAATTTACTTGGTAGGATCCATAATGTTAGATAAATCCGCGATGTTAGGACCCATTTTTCCATTTATGTTGGTTTCCCATCCTACTAAGTGTTCTTTGAAAATAGTTTCTCTCATAGTTTTTATATCTTTATCTTCTTTGATTCTAAGCGTAAATATAATTGCAGTTTGCATTTTATCGCTCCTTACTGACAAGATTTTGATGTTGCGTGTAAAGCAATACATAGGACAATGCCATAATAATAGGTACAAAAGATTTCGCAAGGGCCATCCAGGTTCTGCACTTGCGCAAGGATCATAAAATGCAAAGTATAGCTCCTCTTTTGCCTGATAAAGATAAATTTAAGTTATCAATAATAATAAAAATTTCTTTTATTATAAAAGGAAATAAAAAATAAAAGTATAACTTTATCAAACTGTACCTGCTCTGAATCTCCTTTGCTGCTAACATTTAGTTTTATATATTCAACTCCCTTTGACAAACTATCAACATTCAAATCATCCTTTCCAGACACAAAAACTGTGAAGAAGTTTCTCGATCTTGCATCCAGCTGAAGAAAGCTTGCACGTAATTTATCTATTTGATTGGATGTAAATTCACCAGATGCAAATTTCATTGGTGCGACCGAATAAGTTTCCGGAAATGAGAAAGGAGTTGGATGTGCGGCCCAATAATGAAACTTATACTTCTTAAGATCCGAGTATGCAAATATTAAGAATATCGAAAGTCGTGAAGGCTCTTGCAAGGCTGTGCCATCTCTGATACTATCAATAATGCATTTGCCCATGGTGTCGATAAACTTCTCGGGATTTATCTGTCTGAATGCTTCATAGGTATTTATGTTAATCATGTAGCCACAGCATGCTACTCCGGCATTATGAGAAGTTGTTTCCAAATTTCTGAAACTCATCTAAATGGAGCTTATCCTGTTTATTACATCAATATAGGATATATACAATATTAATTATATATTGTTATTTATATTTTAGTATCAATTTATTGCTATTTCATCAATTAAATGTTGAAGATATATTCGGCTATAGTATTTGGATATTGTGCTAATAATTATGCTATTACATTATTATTAAGCTATTAATATACATGCAAATTACATTGCAAAACATAGTTTAATCTATTTCTTCAAAAAAACAAATCATATTCTCATGCTTATGTAATACTTACCCATTAAATGACATGCAATCAAGTATTAATGGATTGGTCCGTCCTTCATCCATCGGTTGAAGAGCAAAACTCCCCCATACATGTATCTTGGTTTTCTCATCTAGTTTCAACTTGTCTATTTTCAATTCTGCAAATTTTGCCCAAAATGTTGGATCTGTAGCCGTTTTCAATTTTGTGAATCTTATTATTTCAGACATCTTTAGAAGCTAATAATTTTCTTAAATCTGAAAGACAAAGGAAACAATAAAATAACATAACATAAATAAAAAATATTTCACAACTAAAAAGCAGTAGCAATACATTCCGTTATCATAAATAAAGATAAGATTTCACAGGCACATTAAAATACACACAAGATTATTCAATGAAACATATCTCTTTGGCATTGAACAATATTGCAGAAGA